TGACTCAGCAAGACCCCTCTATCCGGCCATCATCCGGGGGTCCCCAGGCATACGCGTCCATCACCGTGTTGCGCGGCGCACCCACCTCGTCTCTTCTACCACATTGTCCTCCCCGCCATGGACCACCACCCGATGAACTGGGGGCGACCCGTCAGTTCTGACGCCTTGCAGAAGGAATGCGAACGCGACGCTGACGCTTTGGCAGCGCAACGACGCCGTAGACGCGTACGGCACGCACCCCATCCCCCAGCGCCCATACAACGGCGCCGGCCACGTCTTTGTGGGCCCGAAGCATGATGCGTTTGCGGATGGCGTGCAGCGGACACAGTGAGTGTGCGCGCCGCGACGATCGCGATCAGGCGCTCACCACCCACGCAGGCAGCCCATCGTCACTGGAACGAGCGTGTTGGCGCTCAAGTACAAGGACGGGATCATGATGGCGGCGGATAATCTCGGTGCGTAAACTCTGTTCGACATGACAGCGAGATGCTGAAGCTATCATCAGCCTCCTACGGCTCGCTCGCCCGCTTCAAGGACGTGCAGCGTCTCCATTCGGTCGGCGACTTCACCTGCATTGGCGCGTCTGGCGACATGAGCGATCTGCAATACATCCAGGGTCTGCTCGACAGCGTTATGATCGACGAATTCACCGCTTCTGTGCGTCGCTACCTGCACGCCCATCCTCCATCCATTGACCAGAACTCTCACGCGCAGGATGGCCACACCCTCGGCCCGAAAGAAGTGCACGAGTACCTGAGCCAGGTCATGTACGCGCGCCGCTCAAAGATGAACCCGTTATGGAACTCCATCCTCGTCGGCGGCTACAAAGACGGCGAGCGGTACGCCTCTCCCCTCATATCAAAGGTGGACCCTGCTAAGCGCCTGCTGTAGATTTTTGCGTACGTTGATTTGCTCGGCGTGACATACACCTCTTCCACCCTGGCGACTGGCTTCGGGGCGTACCTCGCGCAGCCGTTGTTGCGGAAAGCGGTCGAGGGCAACGAGAACACTTTAACGGAACAGGACGCGGAGAAGATTATGGAGGACTGCCTGCGAGTGCTATTCTACCGCGACGCGAGGAGCTTGAATAAGGTCAGTGCTGGCGTCCGACTCACCTTCGCCACTTTCCTCTCGGTATTCCTCATGCCCTTCCGCCCTTGGCTCATGCCTATTCACCTCTGCTGGTCTTCCTTCGCGTGTCCCGCGAAAAATCCTTGGCATAACGGCTTGCTCGGTTTCTCCACCTTGCTGACAACTTCTCACCCTCAGTTCCAAATCGCCAAGATTGACGCCATGGGCGTACACATATCCGAGTCGCGGAGCTTGGAGACACAATGGTCCTTCGCTGAAGGTATTCGTGGCTATGGAGCGCAGACGCAGTAAACATGTATAGTATCAGTCTCCAAGAGTATAGTATGGACCCAGCTTTTACGAGCGTTGTGTATCATCAAGACTTCGTGTGGGTTTGACCTCGTGTGCTCTCGTCAGGCGAAACCCATGCTACAGCTCAGGTTTGACACTGGATGCCATACTTAGACGTGTCCGATGTCGGTATGAAGTATCATTCTGCTCAAGTCAGAGTTAAACCAAAAAATGAAGCGCCTCTATTGGAACAAACAAACCTATCATCATCTGCCATGCACCTGCATCGACAGAGGTCTCCGCAGCCTTCAGCGCCAATCGGACTGCCGGGCAGAGTCGGCACCGACGGCCCTCCGTTTCCGCCACCGAGCGAAGATGATGAGTGAACTGTTCTTGTCCTCCTGTTGTACACATCGCTCCGCTGGCATTCCTGCTTCGTCCTCCGACTGAGCTGGCAACCCATACACAACACTACGCACACTTAGGCCAGGGTAGACGCGTAGAAACCACGCAAAGGAGACGTCCTCCAGGCAGCCCAGGCTCACCGCGCCTACTATTCCGGTTTATCATTTCCGCATGAACATCGGCTTGTCATTCCGTTTCCCTTGCCCGGCGGCCACCCGGACCTCTTCTCGCTCTTCCCTCCCGCGCAAAACCACATTCCCCCTCCCTCTCCCTCTTTCGCGCCATGTCTTCCCAGCAGGAGTTCAAGCAGGTGCGCCATACAATACACAAGCAATCAATATACTAAACGGCAGCGAATGATAGGCGCCTCACAAGTGAGTCTCCAGCGATGAGAGATCGATGCAAGTTAGCTGAACCCGCACGCGCGCTAGGCTCTTGGTGTGAGCAAAGCTCCTCCTTCGCATCTCTGACCCCGCCTAACGCGCCTCGCCATGCAGAATCCCAGGCCCCATCGAGGTCGCGGACGATGTGCGTAGCGCGATCGGCTGCCAGCGCGTCCGGCGATCGCTCACGCGCCCACGCAGGTCCTCTTCGCCAACGCGCACCCTTCCATGAGCCATGTCTCGGCGGACTTTATCCCCGTCTTTGGCGAGTGCATACGCATGACGAGGCGCGTCTGTCCCTCAGCGGACAATCCTTCGATCGCTGACGCGTAGACGCAGGGAGGTGCTGTTCTCGAAGGACGCGCAACCGTTCCTCATCGCTGGCAGCGGCACGCTTGGCTGGGATCAGGTGCGTGACGATATGCGCGCGATGAGCGCAAGTTCACGTCCGATCAGGTCTCTGCCAACCTCGTCGAGCCTGGCGAGAACGTCCTCGTCCTGCACAGCGGGTACTTTGGGGATAGCTTTGCTGAATGGTGCGCTGCGACTCCATTATGTACCCTCATCCATAATACTCCCGCAGCTTTGAGACCTACGGCGCCAAAGTCGACCAGTCAAGGCGCCCATCGGTGCCGCCGTGACGCAGGAAGAAATCGAGAAGGCGCTGAAGGCCAAGAAGTACAAGGTCCTTACCTTCACCCACGTCGATACCTCTACAGGTAATGTGAGATCGTTCATGTATCTGGACCATGTCGTTGATCCGTCGCAGGCGTGCTCTCGGACGCGAAGGCGATCGGAGAGACCGTGAAGCGCGTGTCGCCGGACACGCTCGTCGTGCTTGATGGCGTGTGCGCTGTCGCCAGCGAAGAGATCCGCATGGACGACTGGGGCATCGACGTCGTGCTCACCGCCAGCCAGAAGGGCTTGGGCACACCACCCGGGCTGTCTATCCTCGTCGCGAGCCAGAAAGCCATCAAGGTAACCGACGCACGCTGCACTCGTCTTAGTCCTCTCTCACCTCAACGCCTTTGCTAGGTCTTCGAAACGCGCTCCTCGCCCGTCACCTCGTATTACGCTAGCTGGAAGAAGTGCGTGTGCACCTTGATCCACAGCGACCATCGCTGACCCCGCCTCCCCTCGTCCCAGGTGGCTCCCCGTCATGAACGCCTACGAGAAGGGCTCGCCTGCCTACTTCGCCACCCCGCCCGTCAACCTCATCTACGCCTTCCACGCGTCGCTCTCGACCATCACCCGCGGCTCCGTGTCGCTCGAGGAGCGCTTCGCGGCGCACAGGAAGGCGAGCGCGCGCATGAAGGAGGCCGTGACGGCGATGGGGTTGAAGCAGCTGCCGCTCGACCCGGCGTTTGCGGCGAATGGCATGACTGCGGTGCGTATTAGCTGTACGAGGGAGACGAAGGAAAGGACGAAGGAGGCTGACACGGTCGTAGGTGTACTACCCCGAGGGCTTCGGCGCAGCAAACACACTGGCGCCGCTAGCGCAGAAGGGCATCGTCGCCGCTGGCGGGCTGCACAAGGACATCAAGGGTGAGTTCATTTGATCCTTTACAACGGACTGCGATACTGAATTTTGGCGCAGACACCTACTTCCGCATCGGCCACATGGGCATCACCGTCGTCGACCCCTCGCGCGGCGACATGGACCATGTCATCGACAGCTTGAAGGCCGTGTTTGGAAAGCAGTGACTCATACGGGAGGAGTCCAAGACTCGTGCTCTGTGGACCACGAACCGTGCTCTGCTTTGACAGACCATGAATTCTACCCATTAGAAACCAAACTAGAAATCGAAAATGTAGCAATAGAAACATGCCATGCATGAATATCGGAAGGCGTCGATGAAATGTGTTCGTTTATGTCGGCTTCCCGTTGGAATATTCCAGTGGTGAGTGAGATCGGGGGCGCGACGTGACAGTACTCACGTGACATACCTGTTTTGTGACGCCGCCCTTTCGTGGGAAGGTTGAACTTCGCGCTCGCCACCATCTTCCGTTTTCTTTGCTGTCCGATCCCACTCCGCCGGACGGAACATCCAACATGGACGTAGAAATGGGTGTATGCTAGTCTAATCATTTGTCCAGAGCCCTCCTGACCGGTTGCAGAACTCGACGCTCCCAGCGGACCAGCCGACGGACTGGATACGCGTGTACAGCCAAGACGGCTTCTCGTTCCTCGTCAAGCGGTCCGTGCTGTACACTAGCGACAACTGCGAGACAGCTTGGATAGCGCAAGTACGCATCCTGCCGGTTTGCTATGAAGGCGCCTAACGAGACTTCGTCGCGCAGACTCGTACAAGGAGTCCCGCGCACGGACGTGTGTGATATCCGAGCGGTGAGTATATAGCTGCGTAAGCGTGTCAGTGCGCTGATGAAGTTATCTAGCGCCGTCATCGTCGAGAAGCTCATCGACTACATGAGCTTCAAGGCGCACTACATGACGCGCAGCGGGAAGGAGGAGATTCCGGTGAACGAGTTCCTCGAGAGGATACCGCCGGAGATCGTTCTTGAGCTGTAAGCCATGCTCCTGTCCCTCAGCTCAGGTGTGCTCTCGCTTGAGGCGCTGACAGATCCCGTACAGGTTGCTTGCAGCAGATTATCACGCGAGTCAGTGTTTGCGATGTCTTCTGGAAAGTTCAACTTGAGTGCTGATTGAGAACACTCCAGTTTAGGAAGAATAAGGGAAATTTCTATGCGAGACACGCCATAGTGCAATCCAATACCGAGATGTACACTGAGCTAAGGCCGTTGTATTTCTGCACATTGCATGAAGTGCAAGACTACTGTATCCCTCAATTGAAAGCGCAATCTAGTCTGACTGACATACCTTCGGTCATGGCCCTGCTAGCTCAGTGGTAGAGCGTCGCACTCGTAAGCGTATTGCTCACATGCGAAGGTCAGTCGTTCAAGTCGGCTGTGGGGCAGTGTTTTCCAGGTACCAATCATTACTTTTTTGAGTGTTCACCACCGTCTTTTTGGAGCAGCTGTGCTGGCTTTTGCATGAGCGGTGATTGTCCGCAAAGATGCTCTCATAATATGACTCATAACCCTGGCTCGCTACAACTACGTAGATAGGCAGAAACTAAACTGTGTTCGTCAGATTCGGACCGAACATCCTTGTCCTTCCCACTCATGTCTTCCGAACGGCGACGCGCTGAAATCGAAGCGAAACGCGCGAAGTTAGCAGAACTTCGCAACGCTCGTGCGCAGCGTCAAAAGGCCGAGTCAGAACGCCGCGGTGCAGACGTCGGTTCCTTCTCTCTTGACTGGTTGGCCCGCATGTTCAAGGAAACAGACCCCAGGTCCTTCTACGCCACCGCGGCGCGATGTCGACGACCTCGTCGAGTCCCTCATCGGAAGGCGCGGAGACGTGACACCCGCGCCATCTGTACCGGGCACACCAGCAGCGAAGCGTATCCCTTTGGGCCATGGGCGCCAAAGCGATTTTGGGACCGCGGCGTCGGATCGCGAGAGCATGGGGACGACATTTGTGGATCTGCAATCCACAGGGACGGACCATGTTATGGAACGGTGCGTTGCGTTTGATCTTCGTGTAGATGAGTGCGTTAACGGGGACTCCAGGCCAATGACACCGCGCTATATGGAACTGATCGACGTTGAACAAGAACTGTTCGAGCTACCACCAAGGGTGCGTAGTTAGCCTTGTACCTCCGACCGCAGCAGAACATATATTTGCCCAGGAGCGCATCATATATGAGAAAGAAGTGCAGACGATGGCAGTGGACACGGACGATGAGCCCTACGTGAACGAGGAGGAGATTCGCCAGCGGGTGCACAAGGAACGCGATGCAGAGGCGGACCGAATCGCAAGAGAGAAGGAGCTGGAGGACGAGACTGTGCAGTTAGAGAAGGAACTCGAGGAGGAGATTCGAGGTGCGTCTGCTATGTTGGTCTTGAATGAACAACCACCCATCAAAGCAACAGAGTTGTCCGAAGAGGAGCGGGCAAGCATTCTCGCAGAACCTGAATTCCAGGACTTCTTGGAGCGATCCTCGAAGGTCCTCCAACGTGCACTTAATGACCAGTACGACTACATACGCGACTATACCATTGGTGCGGAGTCGGGAGGGTACGTGCCATCTGTTACTGCATCTTACCTGAGCTAAATTACGCACAGCGACGAGTCAGAGGGCAAGCGCGTCAAGAAAGTCTGCGAGTTCTTCGATGAGCGCTATGTCAAGCACCGTTCAATTACCGACATTGACTGGTCACCCAAAGTACGCACACGTCGCCATTGATGTTCCCTACTGACGTCGTTTCCTGCAGTACCCCGAGCTGGTCCTCGCTTCTTATAACAAGAATAATACCGTGATGAACGAGCCCGATGGCATCGTCTCCGTCTGGAACCTGCACATGCTCGAACGCCCCGAGTTCGTCTTCCACTCTCAAGTCCGTAAGCTGTCCGCTAGCGTCGCGTGTAGCCCTTCCTGACGTGTCGCAGTCTGACGTTCTCTCCGTCACCTTCTCACCTTTTCACTCCAATCTCATCTTTGGTGGCACATACTCGGGCCAGATATTGCTGTGGGATACGCGCTCTAAACACCTGCCGGTGCTCAAGACTCCGCTATCCGCTGCGGGGCACACGCACCCTGTCTACGCTATGCAGATGGTCGGCACGCAGAACGCGCACAATCTCATTACAAGCAGTACGGACGGCACCGTGTGCAGCTGGCTGGTCGACATGCTCGCTCAGCCTCAGGTAAGCCTCTACATAGCCACAGCGTAAACCATCGGAACCTAACCCAACAACCCACAGGAAACCCTCGAGCTCATCCACGCCGGCCACAACAAGACGGGCGAAGTGGCTATCACCACCCTCGACTTCCCCGACAACGAGACGACAACGTTCTGGGTCGGCACCGAGGAGGGAAACATCTACCAGGCCAACCGCTACGACCGCGCGGGCGCCAAGGCCGGCCTCAACCAGTACGACGTTTACAAGGGCCATTCCGCGCCGATCATGGGCCTGCACTTCCACCCGCTCTCTGGCCCGGTCGATTTCTCGGACCTCTTCCTCTCGTGCTCGATGGACTGGACGGTGAAGCTGTGGCGCGCGAAGTCGCTGGCGAAGCCGTCGACGGCGCCGCATGCGCTGCCGCCGACATACTCGTTCGACGAGACGGACGACTATGTGTACGACGTGCGCTGGCACTCGGCGCACCCGGCCGTGTTTGGGACGGTCGACGGGTCGGGGCGGTTCGATGTGTGGAACTTGAACGCGGACACGGAGGTGCGCAGGCGCGCCGTTGCGAGGCTATGGGACGGGGTACTGACTTCGCGCAGGTCCCTGTTGTATCGACACCTGTGGGCACGGGGCGCGCGATCAACAAGCTGCGGTGGGATCGCAAGGACGGGCGGCGCGCGGCTCTCGGTGGCAGCGACGGCAAGCTCTACATCTACGACATCGGCGACATGGCGCTCTACCGCGAGTCCGAGTGGACGGAGATGCAGAAGACGGTGTCGGGGCTGATGGGCACGCCGCAGACGAACGGGATGGACATGGACCCCGCGAAGATCGTTGCGGGTCGTTAAAGCGCGGTCTATGTATGACTGCCTTTCGGAACACCCACATGTCTGCAAGTATGCTTTATGGATTGTAATGGCCCTCCTTCGCCTTTAGACTTTTAGTTACTCCTTCAGGAGAAGCGCCGTTCAGGTGAATGTTTCGATGTTCATCAAGTAGGACGATACCTGCGGACGCCCCAATGTTTCAACGTTCAACAGCCATTCTTGGCCATACCCAGTATCATTGCCATGTTGATGATGAGGGTGGGAACGCGACATAATGCTTGTTGCTGCATTGCCTCCCTCTGATGGACCAAAAAGAGCCAGAAAATCCGACGTTGTTGAGTGAAGACCACATCAGAGAGTGCAGGTGAAGCGAGGTATAGCATTAGATAGATACCGAAGTCCCCGAGTGTAGTAGCGTGCTCTATAGATACAGTTGCTGTTCGTGGTGGCAAGGGATGACAGATGGAAGAATGGTGAGTATCATGAACGGAAGCGCAGATACGCCATGACGAGTGCGGAGCAACCAGTGACGATGCCGACAAGGTATTGTAGCGTCGTAGCCTGCACAACAGAGTGAGCTTCAAGAATAATACAAGATGGGTAGTAAGCACGCACCTTGGAGGCCTGTATCGACGTTCGCAAATTCGCAATCTCCTGCTCAATGCGCGTGTCGATCTCCTTTATCTTCAGCTCCTGCCCCGAGCTTTCTTCTCGTATGCGGCCCTTCTCGAGGTTGAGGTCGAGACGTACGCCCGCCTGCGTGCGCGTGATCTCTTCCCGGAGGCGTTGCTTGAGCTTCTCTATGTCGTTCACGAGCCGATCATTCTCGGCCTTGAGCATCGCAAGGTCGTTTTTCTCCATGAGCTGCAGCTCAGACTTGATCTGGGCAAAGTCTACTTGTTGCGTGTAGTGTTGCTGGTATGCCGCAGACCGCCAAGGGAGAAGCCAGCGGAGGGGGAGGGGGGGAGGCAGGAGGGAATGCGGAGAGCGAGCTAGTCAGTAAGAGATAGGGAGCAGTTAAGAGTCGCGCACCTTCTCCTGCTCCGCCTTGGTGACCATATTACTTGTCATATTCCGGATGCTCTCGTCTATAACCTCAGCCATGGCGGTCATGATGCCCTCCGCCTGCATTCTGTCAGTCATGTCCCCCTCCACAGAAGCCATATGTAACGCACTTGGGCACGATTCAAACCCTCCCGCTCTAGCCGTTCGACGAAGTGATGGGTGTCGAAGTGGAAGTCTCCTCGCCGCGCAGTCATCGAGAACAGCCGTGCAGAAGGTACAGCAGCGCTCCTTGGCCAGGAGCACGCGGCGCGGCGCGCAGTGAAGGAGAGCATAGACGCCATATCGAGGCCAGGTAATAAACAATGAGAATTTCGGGTATTCAGAAGAAAGACGCGTTAGAGAACAATGGACGGTGAAGGTAAGGCGCTGATTCGGAATCGGGCGGCTCGATGTCCGATGCACGTGGCCGAGCTCACGTGTACAGTGTTGAACTTGTGCAACTAGTACTTACTACTACTAGAAACTCAAGCTCAAGTCCGATTCTCTCGCAAAGACGGTTCAGATGCAACACGAATTCATGTTATGGGTATCCATACGGACCATGTACAACTACAGATCCAGGGTCAAGTACGGATATCAAGAAACACCCCAGAACGCCCGGTTCCGATGCGTGTAAGTACCGGGCAAGCGCCTCCACGACTCGTCTCTCCGGCTGCCTTGGGAGACTACATTTCTCCTCTCCTTCGATGCGATGCGAGCGATGCGATGCGGGTGTAAGAAGACGTGACAGTAATGTAAGTATGTACCGCGAAGCCCAAGATCCAGAAAGTAGACACAGCGAAAAGCGTGGCTTGAGTATACTATATACAGCATGATGATGGTGCACAAGTAATCCATGCACGGGAGATGCAAATAATGCAGATAACGCACGAGGATGCGGTGGGTGATGGTATAAGATATCCGACAGCAGTGAGACAGATTGACAGAGTCCGAGGGGAGGAGAGTCCGGGGGCGGTAGGATGGGAGCGGCCATAGCTCGAGGTGCAAGCACAGTACGTCGCGCACTCCAAGGGCGCCTATGAGCCTGACGGAGGGTGGCGCGAGCGCGGCTAGGCGCCGCCCGCCTATGGTGACTGCGGGATATGGCAGCTGCGGGATACGGTAACTGAGGGATAATGATATGGGGGCGGGTGAAGGGCAAGGGGGAACGGACGGGGCAAGAAGGAGCGGGCGGGGCAAGGAGCGACGGTAGTTGGAAGGTATGGGAGTGCGCCGCCGCTATAGCGACGACGACGGCTATAATGCAGTGGTATGGGGACGCGATGACAGGGTGCGGATGGGGGCGTGAAAGTAGGGCATCGCTTGACCAGCAGTGACCCACTGGCCA